CTAATTACCTCACTTTCCCTTTGGCTTTCCTTCGGTCACAGCAGCAGCTTCACCTGGTGATTTCTGAGATCAGGTTTTGACTGTATCCTTTACACGGAGTTTATTTTTTGTCTCTAGGAAAAAAAAACCCCAGACTAAGGAATGATATCTGCACACAGATGCTGCACATCCAAATCCTGCTGCTGGAAACAGCACCCTGCACATGTGGGGCTCCACAAATTGATGTGGGAATCAGGTTCAGAGACCCAAATGCAATTTTGCCAGTAGCTTCAGTCCTTGGCTTAGGTGAACCTGGTTTCTGTCACTCCAAAGCACTGAGACAGGTCCTGGTAAAGGGAGAGGTACAAACCTCTGCCTGCTGCCTGGCCTTGTGGGGCTTGGCTGAGCTGTCAGGAACATCTCCAAGCAGGATCTGGGGCTTCCCAAATTGCTCCTCTTGGCTTTTGGATGGAGCTGGAAGATGTTTGCAGGAGATGTGAGGGGCTGTGTGTTGCTGACCTGCTTTTCTCCGAAATGGACACAAAAAGAAGGCACATGGACAGATGGGGGATGGAGCAGGCTGAGACTGAGCCCTGCTGACAAGAAACACCCCAAGGCAAGCTGGCTGCTGGCCGGCCCTCAGCCTTCCCACAGATTAAACACAATGAAGAAAAAACACCATTAAAGAAAAAATATAGATTAAAGAAAAATATAGATTAAAGAAAAAATATAGATTATATAAAAAGGCTGCAATACTGGGGCATCATCTGACCACCAGGAGACATTTCCTGTACAGACCAGTTGCTGTTTGTTGCAGCCTTTACAAGTGCAGCAGAAGAGATTATTATTTGAAAGTTGATATTAAAAAGCTTGGCACCTATGAAGTGTGCACCTTCCTTTCCTAGTCCATTGTCATTTCCTGTGAAATTCAAGAGTGTGTACATATATGAATATTTAATTTGACAGTGATGAAGCTTTATATATTAAGTCAATGAAAATGTTGTTAGGCTCGTGGGAACAATACTACAGAGTAGTGAGTTGGGAATTTGGTACCCAGTGGCTACCACTTAATTTTGATGTGAAGCATAAAGACAAACAATGGGTTAAATTTAATTCCAACCTATGGTAAGTGTTTTGGGGAATGTGTGGTGCTCAAATTGCAAATTAATTTTTAGTTTATATGTGATAATGGTTTATCAAGGCTCTTCCCTCTGGGAAATGGAAATCACAGCAATTCATGTACAAATTTTATCCCAAATTACAAAAATTATTTATTTTGCAAATAGTGAGGTTAAATCAAGAAACTTTTTTTTACATATGGTAATTTTTTTATTGTAATACACATTAATCTAAAATTTTTATATTCCCAATCCTTAATATGTGTGGTCTTTTTTTTTTAATGAGTCTGCAATTTAGGCAGCCATTTTGTGTGTTCAGTAAAAAAAAGTTAAATCAAGAGGGGACATCCACTGCGGGCTTTCTCCTGGAGACTCTGCCTTTGGATTTCCCTCTGTTATGGTTATTTTACTGCAGAGTATCTGCCAGCGTGGCTGTTGCTGTCTTTGTCTCGAGCACCGGACTGTGGACCAGCCACAACAGCCAGAGCACAAACCCAGCAGCAGCTTGTGTGATTCCACATGCAGAGTTTTCACTTCGTGATTTTTGCTGCTGGCGAGCTCTGAACACACCCAGGAGGGAGCAGCCAAGGCTTGGGACATTCCAGCAGCCTGAGCTGCAGCCCACAGCCCCCCCAAATCCCTCTCACCGTGCCCCACGTCCTGACTCCGACACCTTCTCCTTCCCTAGCCGAAATTCCCAGAGCTGTTAACTAGGTCAGGGAGCTGCTCCCAATCCAGCAGTTTATCTAATTGCCTTTTTAGAGTATATCGTGCAACTCTTCATTATCCTGTCAGAGCTGGCCGGCGCGGTGGCGGCGGGGCGATGAGGATGCCGAGCCGGGATGAAGGGCACAGCTGTGCAGCCTCTCTTGTGCATTGCCGGGGCTGCAGGGCTGCCTCGGCCCGGCCAGAAACACAGGAGCTGCTTTTGGCAGCTGCAGGAAAAGGGAACAGCTTCCACGTCCTGGGATCACCTCCCCAGGTGCACATGTACCTGTGCAGAGGGGTGGCTGCTGCTCCAGGAGTGCCAGGGCTGACCTGTGAGGGTTCTGTTCTTCGGGCAGATGTGACCATGGAATTTTCTGGGCTGTTTGGGCAGAAGGTGGCCCTCAGCCTTCCCGTCTCTGCAGCTGGCAGTTGTGCTGGAGGTGCTCTGCTGCAGGTTAGAGGGGTGTGGGGAAAGATCGTGGCACGGGCCAGGAGTCTGAGCAGGAATCAGGGGCTTGCACACCTGCATTTGGACACTCACTCTTTTCCTGAGTGTTACAGGGGAGGATGAAGGTGAACATTCAGGATTCGCACACCCCCTTTTTCGTATGGTCACAATTTGCAGTCTAGTGTGTTTGTAGCAGCTCGCAGCCCCCAAAGCCCATGAGAACCAAATCCTTTGCAGTTGAGACTCTGACTGAGCAGTGAATTTGGAGTGATGGCCATCCTGCTCCCAAATATCTGCACCTTCGTGCAACTGGCACCGCTCTGTGCCGCCCAGCCTGGAGAGGGGCTGGTGGCGAGGGATTTAGAAAGACAACACACCCAGGATTGGACTTCTGGCTTGCTTTAAATGATTCTTGAGCACAAATTGCTCTTTTCTCTCAGTTTAATAATCAGAAGACCCAGCCACAAGCCTCGCAAGCCTGGTCTGCAGAGATAAGGCAGAGTTGCTGTGCCTGGGGAGGATGGTGGGGTGTGGACGGGCTGCTCCCCGCAGGAGCAGGGCTGCGCACCCCTAGGGCTGCTGGGGAGGGCACAGGAGACCCTCAGCCCGCCCCGGGGAGCGGCTCAGAGAAAGCAGAGAGTGCCAGAGCCCCCGGCTTCAGCGCTGGCTGCGGCTCTTCGCGGGCTCGCTCTCGCCTTTCAGCTTCGGCTGGAACGATTTGCAGCTCAAACGCCCCCCTGAGAGCCGCTAACCTTTGGATAAGGTTTGGCACCATTATCCTGCTTGGGTTAATTGGGAGTTAGGGAGAGCCCAGGAGTGACGCGGCTGCTTCCATCCGTCCGTCCGTCTGTCTGTCCGTCCGTCCACCCGCCCCTCCAGCCTTCCCCGGTGCGTTGCGGGCAGCGATGGAGAGAGAAGCAGAGGTAAATGTCCCGACCCTCCTCTCCACCTCTTCGGGTTTTCCTCTCCTCCTCTCCCTCTTTCTGCGTCCCGCAGCCCTTCCCCGCCGCCCCCGCCCTCGCTCCTATTTTTTTGTGCTTTCTACCCGTTTTCAGCCGCCGGTAGTAGTTCATGGGGGGAGAGGGGAAAAATTCTTTTTATTTTTCCAGCCGCTGCTAGAGAAAATCTTCATCTCCCTCTCCTGGAAACGGGGCAGGAGGCAGAGGGGCCGCGGGTGGGTGTTCCCAGCCGGGGAGCGGGGCGGTTCCGAGGTGCGCCCCGCCGGCCGGGAGAGGGGAGCGGCTGCGGGCTGAGCTCCCGGCGCTAAAACCGGGGGGCACCGCGGCTGTACCCCCGCTCCTGTACCCCTCGGAGCCCTGCCCTCTCAGCATCCCCCCCAGTTTCTCACTGACCTCGGGGTCCCACGAGGCTCAGCAGCCCCCGGCGCCCTGCGGGCTCTCAGTTTGAGGGATTCCCCGGCAAGGAGGGGGCACAGCCCCGGCAGCACTGGGAAAAGAGACCCCCGAGCCCAGCGCATCCCCGGCCGGAGGAACGCCCCGAGCCCGCCGAGGGGACGGAGGGTCCCTGCCGCAGGGCATTCTCTCCGCCCCGGCCCCGAGATCTTGGACATATTCTCAAGCTCTCTGTGTTTTTTTTTTTTCTTCCATTCCTTGGTTTGAGTTTTTGCTTTATTGGTTGTTTTGGGGGGATTTTGCTAGTTTTGGTTTCCTGGGTTTGTTTTGGTATTTTTTGCTTGTTTGGTTGGTTTTTCTGTCGGTTTGGGTTTTTTGCTTCCTTTTTGTTTGTTGCTCATTATTTTTTAAAATATTATTATTTATTTTGGTTAGGCTTTTTTTTTTTTTTTTTTTTTTTTTTTTTTTTTT